TGGCTAAGTCTTCAGAGCCTCAGTAAGGTAGCTGTAAAAGGGGAATGATGGTGATAACACACCAAAGTCAGTCCCCTGCTAGCTAGCTGTTATGGCTGTTAGGTGCCCCCAAGTCAATTGTGACTCCTATTGACCCTTTGTAAAATTGTGAGGTTGGCAGTGTTCCATCTGTTCTGCATAAAGTCGTTATGAGTCGGTACCGACTCAATGGCACCTAACAACAACAACAACAACAAATACTGCTTGGCCTGGTATCATTCTCACAGTCATGGATGGCTACATTTGAGCCCATGTGTCAAACCATCTCACTGACCTTCCACTTCATCTAGCATGGTGTTCTTCACCAGGGACTCGTCCTTCCTGATAACTTGTTCCTTCTGATAGGTGGACTGAGACTCACTATATTAGTGTTCATGGAAGCCCTTTGAGCCTCAATAAACACTAAAGCTATGCTTCTACATTTTATCAACATTCTATAAAGGTGATGATCTGTAGAATTGGACACACAGAAATACAAAACATGAGTTTTCTCATTTATTGCTCTTGAAGGTAGTCACTTCTATATTATTCTTATGATATGAACTGGATGGTCACATCATAGGACATCACTAGTGAACATTGCATTGACAGTGAGGAATAGATTTCCCATCAAGAACATAGCCAATGACTTGATATGTAATATCAAAAAACCACCATAAAATAAGACCTTGCTTTCTTCATTACCACCAACAATGCAGTTCCTATATGTGAGAATTGCCTATCAGTCTTCAGTCCCCAGGAATCCTGACTGTGTTCTGAAAAGTCCTTTCCTGTGCTGAGGCCATGCTCAGGGTTTGAATAACCTTGGTGGCACAACAGTGACCAGATCTCTAAGACTCCCAGTCAATTCATCCTCCCAGGAGACTGGAACTGCAGGCTCAAACTGATGGCTCATGCTCAACTCACCTTTCACCTCCCCGGCCTTGCCCCTACCACTGCATTGTGTCAAGACAGCAATCAGAGACTTTATAAAGAACATCTATCAGTGCCTGGATGATCGCTCTGGGCTAACTTTCCTTTTATTTCCCTTTCCTGTTTCTTAGCCTTTCTATTTTCAGGATCAAAGAAAGAAGTTGCTTTTGAGTCCCATCTCCCAGAATTAAGCGATATAAGATCCCAGTTGCTATAGAACTATTTTCATTTTCGGTCCTTCCTTATTCATAAAAAAGTCAAAGATGCATGCCCTGTGCCCAGCTGGTTTCTAAATAGTTCATGGTGGGGTGTCTCAGTAGAGCCACACAACAGCCTATAAATGCCCATGAGAAAATTCTCGAGATGACCCATTTGTCCCAGTGCACAATGACTGGTTGAACAGAACTACTGTGCTGTAAGCAAGTCCTTAAAATGAGATAGCTGACGCTGAATATGCTATAGGAATGAAATCTTTCTTTACTGCTTAAATGGTAGAAATAGACTAATTCCTTTTGATTGCTTCTATACTTAGCATCATCAATAAAACAGAATGGCTTGGGAAAAGGAGAACATATCACTTTTGCAGAGACTGTGAAGACTGCCTGCCAGGTCACTTTGTTCTTTGATGCACAGATACAGGGGGTATTTTGATAGGAGTATAAAATAAACATTACCAAAGTGTTCTGGTGATGCTTTAAATTTAGGTAAATGGATCATTTCATTAGTACAGTGAAGCAGGTTGTTGTTAAGTGCCCTCGAGTCGGTTCCGACCCACAGCGACCCTGTACAGGGTTTCCAAGGCTGTATCTTTACAGGAGTAGAAAGCCTCATCTTTCTCCCGCGGAGCGGTGGCTAGTAGTTTTGAACTCCTTGCAGCCAGATTTGTAACCACTGTGCTACCAGAGCTCCTTAGCGAAGCAGGTAGGAGAGAAAATAAAGTATCTAGGGATGCAAAAGTTGAGACCTGGGAAGTTCTGACAGTATTGGGGTCCATCTAGGATATCATATGACTTTCCAATCACATCAAAAAAGGGGTGGTGACTTTTCCAGATACTCAATATTCTTTCAATTGCTCCCTATAAGCAAATCGCCACTGGGGTGAGGAGCTCAGCTGGGACTCATAAGTAATAATAAAGCTTTGCTTCTTTTAAAGATGATTTTTAACTACTCATCTCCCAGCAACCACTGGGGGTTATTGGAAGTGATCTTTGAAATATGACACTATCTTAAAGAGAAGAATTAATCTAAAGACGACACAAAAAGAAAGATCCTCATTTCTACCTATGAATTTTTCAAAACACCCACCAATTTTTGGGGGGAAGGAATAATAGAAAATGTACCCAGCTGGGAACAAGAGAATTTGGTCCTGGTTCTGTCAATATGCATTGTATGGCCTTCAAAAAGACAGAAACTCTCTCCTGGTCCTGTTTGTTATTTTGTTTGCTTGTTTGTTTGTTTCCACTTGAAAAGGGAAATAAAACTATCCACTCTACTCAACTTATAGACTACTTGCAGGACTCAAAGTGAAGTCATCTGTCAATGTGAATATGTCATATTGAATATGCTATTCAAATGTTTGGGACTCACCCTAGCTGCCATGAGTTTTTCCTATGAGCCAACGAGCAGCTTGATTGGCCCAGCATTATGCTGAGCATTTTTCATGTATTGAACTCACTTAACCATCACATGAATCCTACAAAGTATGTCTTCAGATTGCTCCATTTTACAGAGGAGGAAACAGAGACTTGGGGAGGTTAAATAACTTGCTTGAAGTACGAAACTGAATCACCCAACAGGGAGAATAAGCATTTACTTAGAGAACTAGGAAAGCAGAGAGAATTTGAGGGTGAAGAATTTGATATATTATTAAAGTTTTAAAGTTCTTAGCAAAGGAGAAAAAATTTAAGCATTAGAAATTCTTCCATATATTTTATGGCTTAGTATAGTTATATTTTGAATATATGTGAGAAAAAGCACCAAACATTTCAGTGCTTTGAGCATTTTGAGGTTTAATCTAACTAATGACACCAGAATTCCAATCCAAGACAGTTGACTCCAAAGCCCATACTGCTGTAATGTATCTGTAATATGAAAGCACCGATTATTGTTAAATAAGTTCTCGGTGCTGTAAGTTTTCAGCAATACTGTTCAAGAAAGTTTCCATCTATTTTGAAAACATATAGGAAACAACCCATGATTTGGACCTAAAGACGCAAAAACATACACACACAGCAAGAGCCATCGATTTTCTTATGTATCTGTGGCTTTAAAGTAACCAGCAAATCATTGTCTGATGGTTGGCAGCAAAAACTCATGGACTCCAAATGAGCTTGGGAAGGTGGTTAACATCAATCTAGAAATCTATGGAATGTCTAATAGGAACCCAACCGACCCTACAGCAGCATTGGTAGGGCCAGTGAAGATATTCACGGAGAGAGATTGAGTTTTCCTAGGAGCAAATGAACAGCTTCTCATATCTTGGGTTATTGTGAGTCACACCTTTCCTCAGGGTTTAACACAGGAAGCATTTAAAAATTAGTTCTGTTAGTGTCTAGTGAGTTTGGATGAGGAAAATAATTTATAATAACTGTGGCACTTCCTGTTCTCTTCAAAGGCTCAAATGTAGCTTCCTAAGGACATTTGTGTGCCTTAATCTAAGAAGTGCTAAGACTCCAACAAGAGACCCACATTCGTGGTAGAGCTATCTGGAAACTGAGATGGTAGATCACTCAGTTGGTGCAGCTTTTGCTACAATACTTTAGGGTTTTCTATACTGTTTGTGGATACCCCACAATTCTAAAAGCAGAACTAAGTAGGGAGACTCTAGTTGTTAAGAAAAGCAGCAACAATGGCACTTTTTATTGATTTCTAGAGAAGACTAATGCAGAGCTATGCATGAAAATGCCATCAGAGGCTTCCAGGCATTCAAGATTTGGGGGCCACAAACCAGTAATTTCTTTGGGGCATTTCTCTCAAGTATAATAATTGAATGGTTTGTAACCTTCTGAAAATATGCTTCTGGCTTCCTCGTCACTGCAACCTCCTCACTATAAAGAAACTGAGAGAAAGCAAATGAGAAATTTGTGGTGAATTTGGAGTGCCAGCGACAAAAAAATTAGATTTAGTATATTGCTTCACATTAGGAAAATGACCGATTTTCTGTGTATGTTGGGTGGCAATACAATTGTGGAGCACAGATCATGGCTAAAAGGTTTTCCTCTCCATTGTGGAACTCTTGCTATCAAGGTCAAGGACTCTTTTTCTAGGAGAAGTCATAGAGAAGAGGGAAAGCTAAGGGGTTATATGAATGATGTCTTTTAAAGAAGGGAACCCTTCCTCCATTGCCCTTGATTTGGCCATCTGGCTCTGGGAATTGGCTGGCGAATGTTCCTTGACTATAAAATCTAAACAGATGATTAACCCATCTCCTTCCCATGACAGGCTTCTTGCCATTAAAATGTCTACTAGGACCCATTTCTGAACATCAGTTCTGGCTTACGATACATGAGAGAAAGATATGAGCAAAGTCAACCAGATGAATGAAATTCTTCCTTCTTTTTTCTCTCATTAATGTGTCTTGATGTTCCTCAATTTAAAGCTAGTGGACTTCCTTTCATAGTCTCTCAGCTATCTCTGGGCAACTGTGTCTCCAAGCATACCACACTAAATGGCTCAATGAAGTCCTGATCCCAAAATGGCTATCCTGTGATTATTCACAATAGCTCATCATTGAGAAGGTGGCCCTTCACTCCCTGGGTCAACATTCTGTAAAACCCACAATATCTTCCCTTTGGTGTGAACCAGTCAGGCAGTAACAGTCAGGTTGACAAAAAAATGTCTGTGCAGAGTTGACAAGTCTCCAGAAGCTCCCTACACTGAATTGTGCCCTAAAGAAATCATTTCTTTATATTTCATTTTATTTACACATACATGAATGTGTACTTGGTGTTCAGTATTTCATAATTTAGTGACAATCACGAGAAAGATCTCCATTTCAAAGTGAGTGGGAAAATGAATAAGTGTATGACCAATGAGAATACAACATGTACCTGTGGGATAATGCTCATTCACTGGCCAGTTGTCCACTTGCAGTGTAGCATTGCCGCCATTCCTGGTGAACCGTACCACATGGTATTTACCATCATTGACTGGGGTTCTTTCCTCTTTGATGGATATGTCAACTGTGCCAATATTGAAGACCACTCCGATTTTCCCTTGTTCCTATAATGATGGAAAAACAAAAGCATGGTTATCATCAACAGAAAGGCTTTCTTCCTTTAAAGGTGGTTCTCCAACTAGAAATAACCTCCTGGTGCCCAGAGAGAGCCATTGGCATGGAGTTAATAAGAGTGTCCTACAATCCCCCAAGGGCCTTTATGAACAGAAGAGCCAATGGTACAAAGCCACCCAAATTGCTTTCACAGTCTGCACTATACAGTGCTCTCAACAGAACTACCTAATTACTGGGCAGTGACACTGCAAACTTATTTTCTGCTAAAGAAATGATTCCTGTTTTCACTAGCAACAAAAAACACTGGATCCTAGACCTCTTCAATAGTCACATTTAGGAAGAAATAGAACAGGTGAGTGTGCTACGCATGTGGGACCAGTCATGGCCAAGGAGCATTATCAGTAGGAGCTCATGGCTAGAGAGTAATTAGGAGCTAATGGCACAGGAATTGGCATTCGAGACCAACTCCTGATGATCCTTTCTTCAGGCACAAATCTCACTGAAGAGTTATCTTGAGTGGAAGCCACTGAGATTGAGCTGTGTTTTCAGAGTCCCACGTCTGTCACTCTTCCCATACTTATTCCTAAAACTAATCCAAAGAGGGATGCAATATTTACAGCCATTGAATTGTATCACCAGAAGAAGAGAATCTCTGTGACTTCAAAGATTTGTGAGCATGGGAAACACATGAAGAAACTCCAGAAGAGCGACTTTGTCGATGAAGTTGAGGTTATAACGAATGACCGTGAGGGTGAAGGTGGTGATGGTATCCACCTCCTGGGAATCACCAGGACACACAGAAGCACAGATAATAATCCTATTCAAACTCTTTCTGTTTCCCTTCCCTGATTATTTGCTACCACCAAGACTCAAATTTGGAGTCCTGGTGTGGCGCTGTGGGTTACTGCACCACACTGCAAAGCTGTTTGAACTGCAAGGTCGGCGCTTCAAGCTCACCAGCTGCTCCTTGGAAACCCTATATAGGGTCACAATGGGTTGGAACCAACTCGACGGCACTTAACAACAACAACAACAAGACTCAAATTTAATATTTGTAGTGAGATATAAAATGAAATTAATATTACTAATAAGTATGATCAGCCTCTCTTACAGTTTAGATAGTCACCAATGCATTTCAGGACATGAAGACACAGGAGGCATTTTCCTCAATTTCCCTCATTATCTGATTTCTGGGGGGCTAAGCCATAGGTTTCATAATTAAGTTTAATAAAATTTAGTTGTAATTATGATGGTATATAAAACGGAGTGATCATTCTCATGCACACAGACTCTGTAATCCTCCATTTCTGTTTTCAAGGAGAAGAATAAGAAAAACAGGAGGAAAAGAAGGAGAGAAGGGGAAATTCAGAATAAAGTACTCTATGATCCAGAAAACGTTTTGCTGAATAAATCAGATAATTTAGTCATTTGATTATTCACTCATTATTGTTGCATGAATCTACTGCTATTTATTATGTTATGGCGCTGTGGGTTAATGTGCCAGACTGCAAAGACGTTTATACTGCAAGGTTGGCAATTCAAGCTCACCAGCTGCTTCTCAGAAACCCTAGACAGGGTTGCTATGGATCAGAACTGAATCAATCGCACATACCAATAACAACAACATGACTAAAGTACCCGCACTCTCATCTCTAAGATGTCATACCATGGTGACTTATGTGTTGCTGTGATGCTGAAAGCGATGCTATCAGTATTTCAAGAACCAGTAGACTCCGCCATAGTGTACAGGTTTCAGCAGAATACTCAGTGTACGGAAGACTAGGAAGAAAAACCTGGTGATCTACTTCCAAAAATGAATGAAGGAAATTTTCACAGATCAAAACAGACCCATGTTCAATTAATTTGCTTTGGATGCTTTATTGTTGCTGTTGTTAAGTGCTGTAATGCCATAGCGACTCTATATAGGGTTTCCGAGGAGCAGCTTGTGAGCTTGAACTTTGAAGTTCAAATGGCTTTGCAGTCTGGCGCATTAACCCACTAGGGCATTTTTAGGAGGGATGAATCATTTGTGGGGGACATTGTGTTTGTTGAATCAGAGGACCAGAAAGGGCAAAGAAAACAATGAGCTGGATTAGTACAAAAGCCACAACGATGTGCTCAGACCAGCCAGCAACCATGAGTAGGACATAGGACCAAGCTCATTGGTTCTATTGTACTTCAGGAAGCCATGATTGAAAACTACTAGATGGCAGCTATCCATCTATCTGTGTGTCCATCTATATATCTACCCATGGTTAACATTAACAAATTAAGATTTCTGGTGGGATTTTAGATACTGGTTTCCATATGGTTTGGTAAACTTATTTTTACTAAAGTCATGCTTTATTTAATTTGACAATTATCCTTTAGTATGGGAACATATTTTTCATTCATGTAGTCCTGGTGCAGCACTGTAGGATAAGCTAACAGTAAGGTCGGTGGTTCAAATCCACCAGTTGCTCCTTGGAAACACTATACAGTGTCACTGTTGAGTCAGAACTGACTCGACAGCACTTAACAACAACAACAACATATTTTCATTAATAGTATATGCAAATAAAATTTTGCTGATGATAATTTAAAAATGGTTGCAGCAGTACATCAACACGAAACTACCAGTTATTCAAGCTGGATTTAGAAGAGGACATAAAATGAGGGATATCATTGCTAATGTATGATGGATCTTGGCTAAAAGCACAGAATATCAGAAAGATGTTTACCTTTGATTGATTATACAAACACATTTGAGTGTGTGGGATCATAACAAATTATGGGTAACACTGTACAAAAGGGGAATTCTAGAACACTGAATTGTGTTCATGAGATGAGGAACATGTGCATAGACCAAAAGGCAAGAGTGGGAACAAAGGGTTTAAAATCAGGAAAGATCAAGATTATATCCTTTCATCTTATTTATTCAATTTGTATACTGAGCTAAAAAAAAGCTAAGAAGTTGGACTATACGAAGAAGAAAGTAACACAACATTAGAGGAAAGCTCACTATGAAACTTCAATATGCAGATGATATACCCTTCTTTGATGAAAGTAAAGAGGACTTGAAATACTTACTTATGAAGATAACAAAATACAGCCGTCAGTATGAATTACACCTCACCGTAAAGAAAACAAAATCCTCACAACCAAACCAACAGGCAACATCATGACAGACGGGGAAAAGATTGAAGTCAAAAATATCATTTTAGTTGGATCCTCAATCAGCACCCATGGAAGCAGCAGTTAAGACATTGAGTGACATGTTACATTGGGAAAATTTGCTACAAAAGACCTCCTAAAAGGAATAAAAATCAAATATGTCACTTTGAAGACTAAGGTGTTCCTTACCCAAACTATGATATTTTCAATTGCTTCACATGCATGAAAAACTGGCTAGTGAATAAGGAAAACAGAAGAATTGAAGCTTTTGAATTACAGTAATGGCAAAAAATATTGCATAGACTATGAAATCCCTATAAAAGTGTTCACTATTGCTCACTATGGTGGTGATGGTGATGTGCCATGGAGTCAGAACTAACTCATACCAACCCTGTACAGGGTTTCCGAGGTCGTAAATCTTTATGGGAGTAGAAAAGCCTCATCTTTCTCCCGCGGAACAGCTGGTAGTTTCGAACTGCTGACCTTGCAGTTCGCAGCCTGATTCGTAACCACTGCGCTACCAGAGCTCCTTATTGCTCACTATAAGAGTGAACAAATTTGTCTTAGACACTCTGAGTACTCCTTAGAAGGGAAGATAACAAGAATTCATCGTATGCATTTTAGACAAGTATGATGCTGTGGGATAAAGCATTGGACTGCAAGGTCAGTCTGAACCACACAGTCGACAGTTCAAACTCACCAGCTGCTCCTTGGAAACCCTATACAGTTACTATGAGTTGGTGCCAATTCATCAACACTTAGCAAAAAACAACAACAATCAAGAGGAAACTGGTGCCTGGAGAAGGCATTCATTCTTGGTAATGTAGACAATCAAGGAAAAAGCAGAAGCCCCTCAATAAAAAGATACAGTAACTACAATGATTGGCTGAGACATAGCAAGGCTTGGGAGGCTAGCACAGGATTGGCCAATGGTTTGTTCTTTTGTACCTGGGTCAGTAGGAGTTAGAACTGACTCAACAACACCTAACAACAACCTGAATGCATCTTGTGTTCCCTGAAAAAAAAAACAGATCCATAGTCACTGTCTTGATCTTAAAAGAGAGCATTATAAGTATCTAGGAAGACTGAGCTACAAGACAGACATAGATTCCTGTGGGACCTGCTCATGTGCTATGTAAAACTGTACCTGTCAATTCCAAGTTCTCATCTCTGGGAAAGTAAGTGCGATACCTTCCTATATGGTGACAAAACAAATTCATGCTTTCTTCCATCTTTTTCTTGTGACCAATATATTTTCAGTTCTTAGCTGGTTTTGTCTATAAATCTCCAGCGCTAAACAAAACACCTAGCATTGAAACAGGATGCTTGGATAAATGGATTTGTTAAGTTCTTTTTGCATCTTTCATGTCCACAATGAACATTATTCTGAATAATTTTATTCTTTCTCCTTGGTTCTGAGAGAATTTAGAGAAATGGTATGACTTTTACTGAAAGAGTTGGCATTCGTCTGTTAAGATATATACGCAGATTTTGTTTGTGCATTGGTACCTAATCACCTTCTGCATAAATAGCAAAGCTGTGAGTCCTGGGGTGGTGTGCTCTAGGATAAGCACTGGACTTCAAGGTCAATTTGAACCACAGGTCAGAGGTCCAAACTTACCAGCCTTTCCTTGGAAACCCTACAAGGTTTGAGGGCACTTACCAACAATAAAATGATGACCTCAATCACTACCTGTTTAGTAGGAAGACAGGAGTGGAAGACTGCGGACACCATGACTTAAGCTGACATTGCTACGCCTGGGCCCACCCACAGCTGTGGACTGTTTACGGCCCCTTGATTCTTTGATGAGAAACCCCCATATGTATCTGAAGGCAT